CCTTCGTGACTTTTAAATCCAAAATATTTCCAGACATCTGCCTTCAAGTTTGTTGGCGGCGCTCGCAACGCTTCGGCCATGCTGTTTTGTTACGCTATTCACGTAGGCGCGTTACGCCAGAAGTCGCATAGCATTATGGGGGAAAGAATTATTAACAGGATCGATTAAGGGTTTTATGAATCGATATCGGGCCATTCAAAGGAAAATCGATTCAAATCGATTTTTTGATTTTTTTAAACCCAGACCTAGTGATGAGAAGTGACAAAAACAGATCAGGGTTCCTGCAGATCCTTAAAAAGTCTTAAAAGGCCTTGAATTCATCAGTCCAAAAATAAGACCTTAATTAACCTTAAAATGTCTTAAATCAATCTTTCAGAGGTCTTAAAATTTAACACATTGTAAGTAGGATGACTGTAATTCATTTCAAATATTAAAATATTTGTAACATTTATTTATTTTTTAAATATTCCCATTCAGATGTTCCCTTTTGACATCACTTCCTGTTACTTCACCTGCAAATATCTCAACAACTGTTCATCTGAGCAACGTGAAATTTGTTTTCTATTATTAATAATTTTGTCTTTCCAAAAATACATTCATATTTCTTACAAAATTTGATGTAACATGCACTTTAAGGTTTTATCTACAGCAAGCTGGGGTTGAGACCCCACTGTGGGTCCTAAAACTCCAAATTTTTGGTCGTTAGAGGATTTACAGAAACTAAATTAAGTTTAAAACTGACTGTTAAGAATGTTTTTTTTTTGCTATATTAGACAAAATAGCAGTTAAATATGGATAAAAACAATTGGTCTATTAGCAATATTTTAATAATTTAACCAAAAATACTTTGATTCATGAGATTACGCCACAGTTTAATTTTATTTTATTTTGTCATTTGTATTTATGGTGAAATTGGTCTTAAAATTGATTTCACTTGGCATTAAAAAGTCTTAAAATGTCTTAAATTTAACTTTCCTTAAACTGTAGGAAGCCTGCAGAACAAACACAGTTTGCAGAGGGAGATGGCCATCATCAGACCCAGCATCAGACCCATCATCAGACCCAGCATCAGACCCATCATCAGACCCAGCATCAGACACACAACATTCTTATTCCAGTTCAGACGTTTGATATTTAGATAATGGTTGATAACAGCCATGTGTGGAATTATTAGTGAAGTTTATACAAATTAATACGTTTATATAATTAAAATTCTTAAAGAAGTTAAGACTATTTCACCCAGAAAGAACTCTGGTTTGCTATCACATTTGAACCATGTAAACGTTTTTGACCCTGCTTCTGAAAAGAATTGGCGTCAGGAGGAACCAGAATTGAAACCAGAGGAATTAAAATCATCCAGATTCAAACGATGCCCAACCYTAGTRAACCTCCATTTCTTGTTGGGGAAAAAAGTTTTTGTTTTTCTTTTTTAACTTCTTCATCCTGTGTTGTTTCTGTCAGGGAGTAGAAAAATATGTGGTGGAGGATGTTGAAGAGTGTCGGACTCGGGTGGACCGCTACAAGCGACCCCTTCATATCATTGAAGGCCCACTGATGAATGGGATGAAGGTGGTGGGAGATTTGTTTGGAGCTGGGAAGATGTTCCTGCCACAGGTACCAATGTTCTTCACTTTTCTCCTCTCTTTCAGTCAACTTGGTGTTAACAGCTTTCTTTATTTGATGGAAAATACAGTCAATTAAATTCCTGTAGAAATAGTTTTCACCGTTTGTCACTGATTGTCGACATTGTCAAAGCAGTAATGATGACAGTTTGTGTTTTATGCAAGAATATCAGCTTTTTCTCCTATAAAATACTTGTATTAGTTTTATAAATAAGACATGACATAAATCATCATCTTTTATGGTCATCATCATAAAAGACCAATTTGTTATGAATTGCTTCCTGCAAAAAACAKTTTTTTGTGATCTTAAGTATAATGAACTAATAATTTCATTAAAAGGGCAATATTATGTGTTTCATAATTCTTCAGTCAAACAAGACCCAACACTTTTATTCCTGATTTAAACTAGYRATCWTGTGAGCAGCTGCAGCTGTWTGCTTTTATTTTTKTMTGTCAGGCTGTCGGAGCGCTCCACCTCCTCTGTCCGGGGCTGGTGTGGGGTGAGGCGGACAGCTCAGCCGAGGCTGCGGTAAAGAGCGCAGTGTCCTGATCCAGGGAGACAACATGAGTCAGTCCCAGACTGAGCTGACTTGATCAAGTCTCTCTCTGCCTCTGGTGAGGAGGGGGGTGAAAARTCCTCCACCTCAGACGTTCAGAGATGTAACTATCTGCGATACTGTGGTCACTCTCCATGTAGCATCAATTATGCTAATGC